GTAGCGGCTGTTTGTAGTTGTGGTGGGCCTATTTGGGAGAAAATCCAGGGCCGTTTTTTTTTTACTCCTAGACCGTTCCTGCTACAATCCCTCCAAGTTTCAAGTCTTTACGTCTTAAGGTTTGGTCTGCACGATCAGTTTTACCTGGAGACTGCTGATCCTTGGCCACTCTAACAATTACAATAGGCTTCAGCGCTCATGCCCGAACCCCTAAAAAAGTCTGTAGGAGACGTATAGTGTATAGCATAGTCCAGCGGTGGCGAACGTCAGTCCTGGAGAGCCGCAGCCCTGCAGAGTTTTGCTTCAACCCTAATCAAACACACCTGAACAAGCTAATCAAGGTCTGAAGGGTTACTAGGAAGCTACAGGCAGGTGAGTTTTAATTAGGGTTGGAGCTGAACTCTGCAGGGCTGCGGCTCTCCAGGACCGGAGTTCGCCACCCCTGGCATAGTCAATAGTGTAGCGGTGTATGAAGCACAGAAGTCACTTTCAAAATAAGAAGTTTTCTGGTGAATCCGCTAATTGTGCAAATGCTCAATTAGCGAAAATAATTGCCTTCACAGTGGACTTCACAGGATATTCAATGATTCCAGATTGAAGTGAGTGTACATGTTCCATTCAAAGGGCATTAAAGTGTGCGAGACGTGAATTTAAATAGTATTTGTTTAGAGGTATATTATGTCACACTTAACACTGCTCTAGTAAGTTTGGTCTGTGTGTGAAGACGCCGCAGGCCGTGCCATAGAGCAAATCCTTCAATGAACGTTTCAAAGTGAAGTAAACTTCAACGGATATCCCCTGCTCAGGGAGTAGCAATGAACACTGTGTAGGGACCATGTCAATCAGAACACAGTTCTCATGAACTCATGAGAACATAAATCTCACTTGTGTTTGGGGATCTGCTGAAATAACGCATAAAATATTGATCTGCATTGTATTTTCTGTGTTCCTTCACAAGAACCTGTTTTCAGTGTGTGAATGATCATATGCTGATATGAACTCAATCTACGATAAGTGATGCAAACAATTACATGATTAATAAACAAAAAGAAATACAATTATTTAAAAAGTATTAATGGAGATGCATTTGATTATTTTAAGATAAGGCAATACAAATAACAATACAACATTTTAATGTAAAGTCGCAGCCACAGTATAAAATCACTAACGGTTTAATCACAGACGGTTTTTATCAGTTTCTGTTTTAATGGGAACTTAGAAAGCAGTTGGTGAAAGTACTAGAGACAAGACTGAACTAAACCTGTTGGTTTGTAACAGTCCTCATAAATAGATCGACACTTTATGCTGTAAAGCCCCGTTCACACCAAGAACGCTTGTAAGTTAAATATCAAAGCCATGAATCTAAACAAGTTGTGTTCCAAATTTGAGGTTGATATCACAAAAAATGAGCTTTCAGTAAGCTTTTTGTTTGGGTGCAGTACCAAACACTTACACTAGATGGCATTCGCTTCTCATTCTAATATAGTCACATTTGACTGCAATCAGTGCAAGCGTGACTATTTTTCAGGACAATTCAACATTTTTAAATCATGTGCAGTATTTATTTATTCGTTCATTTGTTTACATAGCAAGTGCCAAAACCTTTACCAAGTTTTGTACCATTCCGATGAAATACAAAATTGAAGTAAAAAAAAAAAAAAACCCAAACATTTTCAGTCAAAAATGACCAAAGAGCACCAGAGGTTATTTAGCATTTATGGCCACTGATAACTTTTACTATCCTGCAGCATGTGAGCTTGAGAGATATAGATCATAAATGACATGAAGATATACTAACCCTAAACTATGTTTTTTACTAGCGGACGACTACAGTGGATACTGTAACATTCGTTAAATTTACCGCGGGTTATTATTATAAGTTAGCGGTTCTATATACAAATAAAAAAGCGGTAACAGCACATGTCATTGTGAAAATAGTGAAAAATATCAACAGCTAGCGAAACATCTACAAAAAAATATACCGGATTAACCTGGCTGCCTTCTCAATGACTAGACCCTCTGCTCTGCAGAACAGCTAATGATATGCTAACGATAGTATCCCTTGACGCCATTGGTTATTGAGTTTTGTGACGTAGCGAAAAAAAGGCCGTTTCAAAACACATTTCTGGGACTGCCTTTGGGAAACTACAGTTTTAATGAGAAAATGCTCAGCAATGGTG